TTAAAAAAAAGTACTCACTAAATTTAATTCGCATAGAAACTTTTTAGAGTGAAAAATGTGAAGAATTTCTTCCTCTGAATTTTCAGAATATTATTTTCAAGAAAACATTCTCAACTCTAAAACACATATATGTATTTTAATCAAGACCTCAAAAAAACCCTTAATTAAATTAGCTACATACTGTTCTATTTTTTTGGTAAGGCACTTTATTATATGTTGATATGTTTTCAGTTTAAACTAGTTGCTTATAATTAAAAAATAAATACACATAGAAAAACTCAAATTGTAAGACGTGTATAAAATGAAAAGAAAAAGTTTTCTACTACTAAAAATTTTAGCCGCTAATTTCCAGAGACAAGCATGGTTAACAGTTTTCTGTGTATCTTTCTAGAAATTTTCTACCTGTATACAAGTGTTCTCTATTATAAATATCATAAGCAAACACATACACATATAAGTTAATCATTAAATAGTGGGAAACTATTTTGTATAATACATTAGATAACATGAAACTATTTGCAATTTGTAATTTTTTGATTAACTTATGTTACTTTTACTCTATTTAATCTTAATATGTAAATATGTACTATATTGGAAAGTAATAAACTATATTCATTTAAACAATGTCTATAATTCTTACTTTATTTGAAATGGTACTTCTTTAAGCTCAGTTTAAATTGGTCAAGTTTGAGGCAGGTATAAAAAGCAAGAGGAGGAATTGCTACAACATGCATAGGTGTTGCAAAACACAGCCCAAAGTTCTAAAACCAGGAGTCAAATCCAAATCACGCGCTCTCTATACTATACCTTACTGCAGATGAACAAAGGACGCAGGATCATAGAAGGAATATTTGTGATCTCAGGTCTAGGGAACTATCTGTTACTAAACTAGACAGTAAATCTCCATGAAGAAAAAGGCTGTGTCAATTTTCCCATTTCTAAATCCCCAGTGCTGAGTAGATGAATGACATCAGACAGACCTACAAAATGCTGCCCTAAGTGGAAGAAAACTATTAGGTAACATGGAATTCCCAGGATGTACAGCACAATATCCAATATCCAAATGTAGCCTGTAGTGGGCTACATTTCACTGATTTGTTCATGTATATAAATAAATATTTATAGAGCACTTTACATGTGCAAGGCACTATACTGGACACCAGGGACAAATAGATAAATTA